ATTGCCAGTTTCTTCTGCTTTAAGTCTGAGATATATCAAAAAAGAAAATCCAGGAGGCTTCCCTGGTGGCGCAGTGGTTGAGAGTCTGCCTGCCGATGCAGGGGACACGGGTTTGTGCCCCAGTCCAGGAAGATCCCACATGCTGCCGAGCGGCTGTACCCGTGAGCCATGGCCGCTGAGCCTGCGCATCCGGAGCCTGTGCTCTGCAGCGGGAGAGGCCACAACAGTGAGAGGCCCGCGTACCGCCAAAAAAAAAAAAAAAAAATCCAGGGGACTCACCACTATGTCATTGTTTAAGTTCCAAGGTCCCTAGCCAGTCTGCTTCTTCTCTCCAAACTTTCAGAGTCCTCTTATATTTGTTTAAAACAAATAATGTCTAGAGTTTTTTGTTGTACTTAGCAGGAGGATTGGGAAAATACTTCTTAGACGTCTGTATATTGATTTTGAGTTAGGGAATGTTTGTTTTCAGTAGACTTGTCCCTTAATCTTTTCCATCATGGCTTCTTCCATCTCTTCTATGCCTGAAGTCCTTATCTGCTCCTAGATGAGACAGTCCCCATCCATATTCTTCCCTTGCACCCCTCCACTCTGCTGGCTTACTACTTTGTGACTCTCTTCTCAAACCCCTACCCTCTCAGGAGATGACCTGGCTTTTTAAAATTATTATTATTGATTAATTAATTTATTTTTGGCTGTGTTGAGTCTCCGTTGTTGCGCATGGGCTTTCTCTAGTTGGGGCAAGTGGGGGCTGCTCTTCGTTGCAGTGCGCAGGCTTCTCATTGCGGTGGCTTCTCTTGTTGCAGAGCATGGGCTCTAGGTGTGCGGACTTCAGTAGTTGTGGCATGCGGGCTCAGTAGTTGTGGCTCATGGGCTCTAGAGCGTAGGCTCAGTAGTTGTGGCACACAGCCTTAGTTGCTCCACGGCATGTGGGATCTTCCTGGACCAGGGCTCGAACCCATGTCCCCTGCATTGGCAGGTGGATTCTTAACCACTGCACCACCAGGGAAGTCCCCTGGCTTTCTACTTCACTGAGAAAACTGAAACCACCAGAAGAGGACTTTACCAGATGCCCTCCACTGCCTCCGCTCACCCACTGGCATCTAACTACATCTGTGGCTGCCTGGCTATTTCCACCACGAATGGCCCATGCTTCTGTTTGACCCCACATCCTATCCCCTCTTGCCCATCCAGAGACCTTGCTTCAACAATTCTTCTTTCTCTCTCCTTGAGCATCAGTTTTTGCTCTCCAATGGATTGTTCTCTTCAGCAATAAAAGCATAAACATGCTTGTATTTTCACCTTAGAAATACAAACTTCTCTCTATTTTACCTTCCACATCTATTTCTGTGCTTCCTGTCTTTGCTCCCCTTTACATCAAAACTCTTTGAAAAAGTTTTCTGTTTTTTTCCAATCTTTGTCTCTAGTCCCCCTTCTCTAATTGTCAAACCCACATCAGACTGGTTTTTGCCTCACAACTCCAACAAAAGTACTTTTGTCAAGATCACCAGTGACCTTTTTTTAAAACAAACAAAAAATATATTTATTTATTTATTTTTGGCTGTGTCGGGTCTTAGTTGCAGTGTGCGGGCTCTTTGTTGCGGCACACGGGCTTCTCTCTAGTTGCGGCAGGTGAGCTTAGTTGCCCCGTGGCATGTGGGATCTTAGTTCCCCCAACCAGGGATCGAACCCACGTCCCCTGCACTGGAAGACAGATTCTTAACCACTGGACCACCAGAGACATCCCACCAGTGACTTTTACACTAAATCCAATGTTCAGTTCTTGGGCCTGGACATTGTTCCATCTTGATCCATAAACAGAATTGGACTCAGCTGGTCCCCCATCTTCCTTGAAGATCTATTTTCACTTGGCTTCTCTCCTGACTTTCCTCCTACCTACTTGGCTGCTCCTTTTCTATGTCCGTTGTTGGTTTATCCTCATCTTCTCAATCTTTTAATGTTCACGTGCACAAGGCTCAGTCATATTACACTCATCTTGTTGATGATTTCTTCTTGTCTCATGACTTTTAGACACTAACTGTATAATAATGATTTTCCAGTTTATGTCTCCAACTCAGACTTTTCCTGAACTCTGGACTAGTTTATCTAGCATTTCTGTTGGATGCTAGTAGGCACCTCAGAGTCACCATGTGCAAAACTGAACTCCTGGTCTTCCTCAATACCTGCTTTACCTACAACCTTCTGTAGCTCGGTTGGTGGCAATACCGTCTGTCTAGTTTGTTCAGCCCTAAAACCCAGGAGTTCTCCTAGATTGTACACTTTGCCTCACTGTACATATCCCATTTGTTGAACAGTTAAGCTGGCTTTCAAAATATCACAAATCTATCCTGTCCCATCACCTCCATTGCAACTACATTGCTCCAGGTCACCTTCAGCACTGGCCTGGATGACTGTGAGGGCCTCTTCACTTGTTTCCCTGCTTACAGTCTATACCACACATAACAGTGAGAAAATTCTGTTAATATGTCAATTCCATGCCCAGTCCTCTTTGGCCCCCCAGGTCCTGTGAGTCAGCTCCAGCATCCTCTGATAACATGGGCCTCTGTGCCATTCCTCAGATACACCAGGCTCACATGTGCTGGGATCATCTGGGGAAATTATATTTTTAAAAAAGCCATTGATATTCAATTGACATTGTCTTAAATTTATTATTTTTAGAAAAATTGACATCTTCCTGATTGAAAACTTTTCCTAACAGAACTATGACTCTCTTTTTATTTACCTCTTCTTTTATGTCCCTTGGAAAGGTTTTAGAGTTTTATTTATGCAAATCCTATTGCTTGATGCACATATATTTTATTGCTTTTTTTTTTTCCTAAGAACATTCTTTATTCCTTAAACAAGTCACACCTCCTGTGATTTCATTGGAAAAACAGAAACTGGAAGAAGTATTTCTGTAACTTTATCAGAGGAACACAGATCAGTGTATTTAAAGGAATGCTTAACTTGAGTTTAGACATGTAAATCAGTTTAGGAGACATTGTGTACTATCTAGCGTATTCAAGTTTTGCTACTTGAAAGTTGACTATGAATTGATTTTTCTACCTTAATTTAACTAATAAATTTCTAGTCATACCTACTATATTCCTGGCAATGGGCTAGAGATATCATGATCAACAAGGCCATGTTTTTGCTCTTGGGAATCTCATAGACTTGATTTTCTTCTCAGTACAAGCCAAGCTCTATAAAAAGAGCTAGTTTAAGACATTGCAGATTTCATGAAGGTAGGCACTCACTTTAAAGAATAGCCTTTGAAACTCTTGAGTCCACAGAATTATTTTTCTTGTACTCATTGAAGTTATTAGGTACCTGATAAAAAATACCGAGAGGTTGCACGGTAAGGAATATTTCACCTAAATATGCAACATTAGACCAATGAACATGGACTGTCATATTTCTAGCATTATGGAGAGTTCTGGGTTAGGTGCAGGTGCCCCTTCAAGAAAACTTGATTTTTTTATTTTTTTTATTTTTTTGCGGTTCACGGGCCTCTCACTGTTGTGGCCTCTCCCGTTGTGGAGCACAGGCTCCGGACGCACAGGCTCAGCGGCCATGGCTCACGGCCCTAGCTGCTCCGCGGCATGTGGGATCTTCCCGGAATGGGGCACGAGCCTGCATCCCCTGCATCGGCAGACGGACTCTCAACCACTGCACCACCAGGGAAGCCCAAGAAAACTTGATATTAATGTTTCAGTATCAGCAATAAAACAGCACTTCATGTGTTACTTATAAAGGAAGATTTATTACCTTCATATCCTCTTAATAATGTATTTCTTCCTTTCATCAGGTATAATCTTATACCACAGCCCTTTGGCCTTAAAGAGTAGCTTAATCTTCTTAGTTAAGAAAACCTTTTAAGCCTTTATTGCTATATATTTTTTATTTTAACATCTTTATTGGAGTATATTTTTTTTTTTTTTTTTTTTTTTTGCGGTACGCGGGCCTCTCACTGTTGTGGCCTCTTCCGTTGCGGGGCACAGACTCTGGACGCACAGGCTCAGTGGCCATGGCTCACAGGCCTAGCCGCTCCGCGGCATGTGGGATCCTCCCGGACCGGGGCACGAACCCGTGTCCCCTACATCGGCAGGCGGACTCTCAACCACTGCGCCACCAGGGAAGCCCTGGAGTATAATTCTTTATTGCTATTAGAATGGGATTCTTTTCCTTTATTTTTCAGCTAGTTATTGTTGGTATGTAGAAAAGTTTATTGGACTTATATATTTATTTTGTAAGTGTTTCTCCTTGGAACTATTAAATCTGAACTCTCTTTCCAGCTTTAACTACTCTTTGGTTGATTCCCTTGTGTGTTCAGATTCCTCTTGACTCTGTACTTGCTGTGGATCCTACATGGGGCTGTCTTTCTCTCAGATCTTTTGTGGGATACCTCCTGCCTGCCCTCAGGCTCTTGGTTCTTAGGCCCTGGAGCCCAGAGGCTAGGATAGGGGGCCTCTCCTTGGCCCTCTCCTGGCTCTACACAGGACCTCTATCCAGGCATTTAGAGCTCTGAATACAATTTCCAGTTCACCTTCTTTTAACCAAGCTTCATGATCAGTTAGAGCTTGGAGTGGATTTAGTAGTCAATGGATATTTGTTGAAGGAATAAGTGATTGACTGAAGTATTTGTCTCCTCCTTTCTAGACTGCCAACTAGCTTTTTTTATTTTTCTAACTAGCTTTATTGGGAATGCTCCTGTATTTGGGAACTTATTTTTCAACGTAATTTCCATCTCCTCTGTTGATTTTTTTTTTCTAGTCAATTTGTTTATATTTTGTCATATATTCACCTAGCCTTATTTCATAGTAACTTCCACCAATATTGTACATTCTAAATAAGTATCGATTTGACAATGATAGTTATATTATTTCATTGTTCTAATGCATAATGACCACTCCCACACTCACTATGTAATCTTCTGTAACCTGCTAGGTTTGTTTACTTTGATGTTGCTGTTGCTGACTTGATGACTCTTTCCTCCCTCTCAGATTCAAGCTTCTTCAGGGGAGACCAAGTACACTGGTGCCTTGGACTGTGCAAAGAAGCTATACAAGGAGGCTGGGATCCGAGGCATCTACAAGGGGACTGTGCTCACCCTCATGCGAGGTAACCTTTGAGGCCCTCCATCTGAGGTGATTTGCCACAGGGGGTCTTGCCTGGATCTCCCGATGAGCCTTGGCACCATACATGCCACAGCTCTGACAGGGCTGGCACTGTGTGTCCTGGTTTTAGGCCATCTTACCTCTGGCCAGCATGGACACACATGAGGATGGGGGGACCCTCCATCCTTCTGATAGGCTGGCCCTCAAGGATGGAAATCATGAGCATGGCAGTCGGAGGGGAGTAGCAAATGGAAATCATGGCTGGAGGGATGAGTGGGAAGAAAGAATGACTTAGGAGCAGTGGAGCTCTTTTTGGCTTGAGAAGCATGTCCTATTGGGGTGGCAATAGAAGAGGCAGAGACAGCTCTACCCTTGTCCTGAGATGACAGCTTGGAGGAAGGCCAGATGTTAGCTCTGGTTATAACTGCTTGGAGTGGGCATATTAGTGGGGACCACTCAGAGGGCCTTTGAAGATGAAATAATGTCATGCATGTTAGTGCTCACTCACACCAGTGCTTGCCCCAGAGCAGCATCTGATCACTGCAAAGTGATTATTGCAAATAGGAAGTGCTGCTGAGGAGCTTCTCAGGAAACCTTCAAGGGTCCAAAGCCAAGCTTGGTTCTTCTAAGATCAGGAAATCTGTGAGAATTTTATATCATTTAATTTACCTCTTTCTTGCCACTAACAGATGTTCCAGCCAGTGGGATGTATTTCATGACATATGAATGGTTGAAAAATATCTTCACTCCAGAGGAAAAGAGGTGAGGAGAACAGAAGAACTTAGAAGCCACTTTGCCCAATCATGGGTAGGTTGCCATTTCCTGTTAGTGGATCTGAAGGCAGAAGTGGGACTTGCTTCTGTCTCCGTGTCCACTTTCCTGTTGTTGCTGCTGAGGCCCAGCTAATACTAGTACCCTTTACCCTGTGCCTCACCCAGTAGAGGAAGTGTTTGAAACAAGTGCATGAAACCTCCTTCAGCGAGTGGCAGCTACCATGTCACAGGAGCTTTGGCCTTGGACCACCTCCCTCCAGCCAGTTTCTCCCTCTCTGTGGCTGCCCTGTGTGCACAGGAGGGATGGTCTGAACACCACTCTCACAGCCTTTGTCTGACTGGGGCTGTTTGGTATTCTGCAGTGTCAGTGAGCTCAGCGTGCCTCGGATCCTGGTGGCTGGGGGCATTGCAGGGATCTTCAACTGGGCTGTGGCAATCCCTCCAGACGTGCTCAAGTCCCGCTTCCAGACTGGTTAGTAGAGGAGAGTGGGGTAGATGGGGTTGGAGTGGGTCCCAGAACTGGCTGGCCCTGTGGTACAGAGTTCTTAAGGCCCTAGGGATACTCAGTCTCCACAGTAGCACTCAGCATCTCTCTAGCCAACATTCTTCCTTGCAGTCATTTGTGTTCTAGGATCGCTAGACTCATTTTCTTTTTTTTTTTTGAAGTACGCGGGCCTCTCACTTCTGTGGCCTCTCCCGTTGCAGAGCACAGGCTCCAGACGCGCAGGCTTAGCGGCCGTGGCTCACGGGCCTAGCTGCTCCACGGCATGTGGAATCCTCCCGGACCGGGGCACGAACCCGTGTCCCCTGCATCGGCAGGCAGACTCTCAACCACTGCACCACCAGGGAAGCCCCTAGGCTCATTTTCTTGTCAGCCTAAACATAAAATAAGTGAGAGAAGGACTTCCCTGGCAGTCCAGTGTTTAAGACTCCTCGCTTCCACTGCAGGGGGCACAGGTTCAGTCCCTGGTCGGGGAACTAAGATCCCACATGCCGTGCAGCGTGGCCCAAAAAAAAAAAAATAGTGGAGAAGAAGTCAGATCAACCTTCCTTCCCTCACATGAGCAGAAGGACTGTTTTCATTCTTCATTCCCTTCTCCACTCCCTTGGCACCAGTAATCCAGACATTTGTAACTGTTTGTCCCAAGGTGAACTGTGTTGTCTGTGGACTGGTCCCAGATGACCTGCAAAGTGTCCTTTCGCTCGTGCTGTGGCCCTGCAGGAAGACTTGCCTACAATATTGTCCCCATGTAGGTCACCATGGTCAGGTCAGGAAGCTTCCTGAAGCCTTAACAGTTGCTTTCTGCCCACAGCACCTCCTGGGAAATATCCTAATGGCTTCAGAGATGTGCTGAGGGAGCTGATCCGGAATGAAGGAATCACATCCTTGTACAAGGGGTTCAATGCAGTGATGATCCGAGCCTTCCCAGCCAATGCGGTGAGTGACTGGCAGGGGCTGTGCTTTCCCTTTGGGGCTCAGAGCAGGGTGCAGGTGGGCTGACTTTTGCTTGCTTCTGGGATTGAATTGGGGGCTCAGTTTTTCCAAATCCCACCCTCAGTCAGAGCCTCCTTATTTGTTCCCTTTCCTGAAGCTGTCAGGAAGATTTTCCTTTGTGATCCTCTGAGGTGAGGAGCTTTGATTTCCTGGCCTGGCCATCAGAAGTGGGCAGTTGTGGGACATGCATTTTCTTTCCCCTTTAGGAATGAGAAAGCATAGCTTGATTCCGTGACCTGGGGTGGGAGATTAGGAAGGGGTTTTGGTCCTGACAGGGCCAGTCAAGCACAGTGCTGGGGTCTCTGTGAATAGTCACAACTCCTGTTGGCTTTTCTCTTCCTTCCAACCCCTTCTCAGGCCTGTTTCCTTGGCTTTGAAGTTGCCATGAAGTTCCTTAATTGGGCCATGCCCAACTTGTGAGGCTGAAGGCTGCTCAAGGCTTCAGGATGCTGGAAGCTGTCATCGAGGAGGAACAGTGGGCAGGACTAGGCTTCCTGAAGTGTGAGGGGAGGGACATGGTGGGATGTGAGCTCTGTGCACGGACTCACAGTGGTTGAGACCATTGTCTTAATGACATCCTCTTCCTGGTATAATTTGCCATTTTGCAACTTGAATCCACTCTAGTCAATTTAAGGGAACTCATGAGGATTTGGGGATGGAGTAAGTAGCTTCTAGACCAGTTACTACCTGTGGCCAGAATGCTGTCTACTAATTGACCACTGGCCCTACTACACCCAAAATACTCCTTGAGAAAGAGGGAATCTCAGCCTCTCACTGGAGACACTATGCATGTTTTCAGCCATCTGACCAGGAACTGGGGCCTTCTTTGATCCCTAGCCAGGAACACTCACCAGATTTCCAGGGTATCATCTGATCCTGGCCTGCACATGGGAATGTGGACTTGAGGCCCACATCTGTCTGTCCAAGTGGACTGAGCAAATGTGCCTAGGGGTAGATAGCCTGTTAACAGTCAGGTTTGTTTGTTTGTTTGTTTTTTTAACGCATGCAAGTAATCAAAATTAAAACTAGAGTAGCCTAATTTCCAGGAGTAGGTGGAGAGCTTTCCCTCCTACACAGTGAGGAGGAGAATTTTGAACCGACAGTCCCAGCTTGCTAGGATAAGTGAAAAAGCCCAGGGTGTAGGAAGGCTCTTTTTGCACACTCTTTTCTCATGAGAGCGCCCTATTTTAACAGGAAATAATAAATATTGTTTCTAATTTTTGCATTGTGTGAAATTTTTTTTCTTTTGATTCTGGGTCATTTCAGCAAGCAGCCACTGTGGCCTTGGTGGAGGCTGTTAGGGATCCAGTATCCTTCCCTGGTTCTTCAGGCAGGGGTTCTAGCAAGAGAAAGAGGAGGAAGTTTTGGCCAGCCCAGCCTTCCCTGACTGCCCCAGCTCCAGCTGCTGGAGGGTGAGGTGGGGTGGGGTGGGATGGGGCAACATGATTGGTAACTGTTCCCATAGCTCTCAGTGCAAGCCTGGCATGCAGGCCCCCACAGGGCCGAGCCTGCAGCCCATCCCTTCATTCCTTCACCTCTCTGCCCTCAGCCATGGGTGTCTTAGCTAACGGATGGAGAGTCAATTGTTCTAAAAGGCCAAAAGCAATCCTGAGTTTTCATATGCACTTTGGGGTCACTGTGTGATCTGATGTCTGGAATTACTAATCAGGCTGATGATGATGACCAGGTGCAGCTGGAGGAAGTGAGGGAGTCATAATGGAGAGTCACAAGCTAATCTGTTCTTGGCTGGGGGAGGGAGAGGCTACCAGAGCTGGGCTTCTCTGGTGGTGTTCCATCTGGCAGTCACAGTTCTGGCACTTCCCGCCTCACTGCAGCTGCACAGAGATCCTTGGACTTTGGCTTTAGAGCTATCACTCAGTGTAAATGGGTGAGAGGGGAAGGGACCCACCCCCATCTGGGAGTGGGTGTGGCCAACCTGGCTGGAAGCTGAAGATTTGGGGGTTTAAGGAAGGAGGATTTATTTCTGGGAAGATATTTCTGGATGATGGTCAAGTAAAAAAATAACAGTTTTAGGGATGAAAATTGTGTGCACTGTGCCTGGGAAGATTAATTCAGTGTTATGCTTTTCCCCTCTCATGCTGCAGGATATCTTTGTTTAATCTCTCACTGATTTGGAGATGGCCAAGTATGTGTCTCCTGGAGCTCTTCTAGGCACTGCCCAGTCCTTGAGACAGTCCTAAAACCTCGGCCTTTTCCCGGGAGCTCCTGTGAGTGCATTTGCATTCTAACCAAATGCCAGCCATTCCCATGGCTCAGGATCACTTTTT